GTATATCCATGTATGTATAGTATGTGCACGTATAGATTGTTTTGGGCAGTGATGTATCATGTTATTTCTGCTAGCAAAGAAATGGTGCATAACTCAGTTATGAAGATAATTCCCTCTTGTATGAAAATGAATTCCATTATATTACAGCTTACTGTTAGGTATTTATATTAAATGTGTTAATTTCATTTTTACCTAGCAGTTTAGTTAATAATTATAACAAATGTTGATGAGGGAGCTGTCTGTTCTCGACTTCTCTCTATCTGTACCAAGGATAGGTTTCTTAACTTTTCTGATATCTTAATTTTCCCTACAAACACAGGGCCATTCTAGGAAAGCATTTTCCTGGTTTTGTCAAATGAACTGTCACAATCCTAGACACATTTGGGTTGCAAGTGACTTCCCCAGGGTCACCTAACCTTGCAGGATGTAAAGTGAAAAGTTTTGTGTGGAGTTTGTTTGTTTATGAGAAGGGGGGAAAAGCCAGAACAGAACTACATAATTGCTTTCATTTCAATTCTTACTAACTTATTTTGCCTTTAGAAGCACCTTTAAAGTCACCCCACCCCCAGACTGTGCTGTTGAGGTGTTTAAAGAACAGTCACACACCTACCTCACTGTTTCAAACATTTACTTTACATATGAAAAATATTCAAATAGGAAAAAAGGACAAAGAAAATAAACCCACACAAACAAACATGGGAATGGGCGACAGGGGATGGATCGCTTGATGATTACCTGCTCTGTTCATTCCCTCTGGGGCACCTGCCATTGGCCACTGTCGGAAGACAGGGTACTGGGCTAGATGGACCTTTGGTCTGACCCCGTATGGCCGTTCTTAATGTTCTAACATTGTTGCGACTTGCATTTAGTGTCCAGTGCGGATAGATGGAATAAATAGGTGACCAGCTGCGGGATGGCACCAGCTTCAGTTGGTTTGGATGAGGGTGGTTTACGTCTTGCTCCTTCTCATAGGTACGTTCATCCTCTGCACAAGGGAAGGGCATAAAGGTTGTTAGCACAGGCTAGATCTCCAGTGGAGAGAGTTGTGGGTAGAGCTAAGTGTCATCTTCCCTGTCGCTTGTTTAGTTGGAGAACCTCACTGCACTGGACCCAAAAAACTGCCTAGAGCTGAAGAGGGTGCAGTCCCCTTTTCCCCCATGTTGTTTTGGGATTAGTTTATTAAAGTTGCACCCTCATACCCTGAACTGATTCCTGCTCTCCATGCCTTATTTCCTGAATCAAAAACTCTGATGTCACAAACTCGGCTTCATGACTCCAGCTTGGGAAGGAGAAGAGCAGTTATAGAGGAGGTAGCTCCTAGTTAACACACAGATATGCTTGATAATGGGTAAAAAGGGCAAAAAAAGCATGAAAGGGAAATGGATTTAAATTTAAATGCGCTACATGCTGGAGAATCTCAGCTAACATAAAAGTCACTCTTCTAAAAGCGGTGAATGTGACAACACAAGCGGCTCAGACCAAGTACAATTTCGAAGCTTTCAATAGCCAGAGAAACTGAAATGTAAGGAAAAGCTATCCCTAATCAGGGACTAGATTGTGCAAGCTTTGCTCACGCTGGTGAGCACCTATTCACACAAGTAGTTTTATTAACATCCAGGAACTACTCCTATGACTACTCACTGTTATGAGGGTGGGTGGTACTCTCTAGCCCTACACGAATAAAGGGAGAAAAAGCCAGGCACGCTTATAGACCGCCTCTGTGTGCTGCCTCAGGATGCAGGTGTGAAAAGGAGATCTTCCTAGGGCAGGCAGTGTGACAGTAACTTCCCTTTTCCTTTTTGCCATAAAGAGGGTGTGATTTCTGTTCGGGAAGGGAGGCACAGGGACAGGAGTTTTTATTTAAAAAAAACCACATGAACAAAAACACACCTATTTTTACAAAGAAGATTCCACAGAAAAGCATTGTGCTATTTCAGGCTACATTTGCTTTTACATCATACGGTCTGCGACATAATTTCTTTCTTCCTTTTCTTTTAAAATTCATGTCTCTTGGAGCTTTGGAATTGTTCTTCAGTTACTGATCATTGGTAGCCAATTATTCATATACTGTCATTGTTTTAAAATTCTCACTTTCAGAGAGTGGTTTGCACCATTTGGGTTTGCTGGGCTACCTGATTCCACTGGAATTGAGAAATACCCTGGTGCAAATAACTAAAATAAAACAACTTGTATTGTTCCATAAGAGGATGAAAGTGCTGAATGAATGACATTGTGCGATTGTAAACACTTTGGAGCTTGCACTGTTTCTTTGTTAATGTTTATACAGTGCCCAGCAGAATGGCCAACCTGTTGGCACTACTGTAATATAAATATTTCCTAGGAATGATTAGAGAAGCTTACAATCAACCTAAATATTTCCAAATAGCATAAAATTACAGCAAAATAGACAGCAGTTACATTGTCTTTAGATTCAACCTACGTATTTTTAAATTTAAAAATACAATCTTGACATCTCTTCAGATACATTGAACATTTGATCTGTAACAGCTATGCACAGTTGTGTGTTCATATGTTTGTGCTTTCAACGGTTTAACTCAGAATACAAGGGCCAGATTTTGCTAAAATCATCCATGTGAGAAGGCACTAGTAAAAAAAATATATATATATTTCCCAACTGATTGCACCATACTCCTTTTGAAACTGGAAGTCCAACTTCAATGTTACTTTAACAGTTATTTTGTCATTAGTGTTTCACTTAAATACAACCACCCTGAAAAGAAGCATGAAAGATTTCTAATGATAGATACATGATACAGTATATATCCATTATACTTTTCTCCTTCTTCCACTGCCCTGGATGAAATAGCTTCATTTGATCAATATACAGTGTACACTCTTGCCTGAATAAACAGGCTGCATAGATTGTTGTATATGCTGAACTGTGCCATGCTTGGCCAGATGCCCTCACATTCCAGATGTGTTGTGAAGCCAAATGCTTTCAGCCATCTGAAAACTATGGATACGTACTGCAATTGCATTTTTTCCTAAGCATATTATTATTTTGGTAATAGATATCTAGCAAGTTCTCCATATATAGTTATATGGTTAGTTTAGTTCTTTAAAAAAACACTATTATCTAATATGCATATATTTATATGTATTTTATCTTTTCACTTCTCTTTAGACTAAAGCGTTCAGTAGAAATAGATTAGTTTGATCAATTACTGATCGCGCTCTTAATGTTTTGATAGAATTTTCCTTCCTAAAAGGCATTACTTTTATGTGTAAAATACACGTAGAGTGCCAGTGTAGAAAACTAACATAAAGCTAGTCAGTTCCTAACTATCCTATTCAGGAAGAGTGTATTAGATTTACATCACCAGTTGCATTACTTAAAAAAAAAAGACAGAATCCCTGTTGGGTGCCCATGTAGCTTATGCTGAGTAAATATTGACAAAGTAGTCTAAAGAGCAAACACTTTGACATTTGTAAGGTCCACTGGAAGGTCTTGTATATATTTATACAGCAAGAATGAGTACAGCATACCAATTTTCTTGAACTTGCTCCTGACATAATTCTGCATGGGCTTTCTTGTTGGGGAGAGAAGTGTGTTTAAATGTGAATGGGTCATTTGTTGCATCCATAATGAATATCTTGAATCACTGTTAGTCAGGTGTTTCTGAATTTAGAGTCACCAGCTTTACCACAAAAAAGAAAAGAAAAAAAGAAATCTTGTTTTTTAATGTATTGTAATCAGTGTACATTGTTTTTACTTTGTAGGAATTTTATTGATGTTTTTGTCCTCTATATTTATTGAAAATTGAGTCTCAAAAATGTAATGAGTAAAAAATGCTTGCTTAATTTAAATTGTGAATCTGTCTGTTAAGAAATGCATTAGGGGTAGGAGAAGCATAAGACATATTAATTGACAGACAGGAGCTGCTGTCTCTGAGGTTGATACAAGTAATTTATTACTTTAGAAATGAATGCCACCTCCAGAATGTGCTTCATTAATTTCAAATTTAGTTTTAATTTCAAGCTGTTGCCCCTTGAGAAGAATAAGGTGGCAAATTATGTTTGAAGAGCAGATTTTTTTTCTTGCTCTGAAGAAACATTAAATTTTAACTGTTTAATTTTACAAATAAATGCAGTTCTTTAGCTGAAATATTTAAACAGCTGATGGAAAGTATAATCAACAGTCACTAACTCTTGTTGTTTTTGTTTTGTCCATGATAGCCTATGTTTCAGATGAACTGAAGGCCGCAGCACTGGTGGAGGAAGACATGGAACCTGATGAAAATGCAATTGATGGGGAACCTTCAGCAAAATACGTGTGTCCGGAAAAAGACTACAGTAAGAACTGCCAGAGCTACCAAAACTCTCCAGCTGCTGAATTTTCCAGCCATGAAATGGACAGTGAGTCACACATCAGTGAGACAAGTGACCGAATGGCAGATTTTGAAAGCAGCTCTATCAAAAATGAGGAAGAGAGCAAGGAGGTTGCAATACCACTTGAAGATTCTGCTGTATCTGATAGCTTAGAACAAATGAAAGCCGTATATAATAACTTCCTTTCCAATTCCTACTGGTCCAATCTCAATTTGAATCTCCACCAGCCGACTTCAGAAAAAAACAATGGTAGCAGCAGCAGTAGCAGCAGCAGCAGTAGCAGTTGTGGGAGTGGTAGCTTTGACTGGCATCAGACTGCTATGGCAAAGACACTGCAGCAAGTTTCTCAGAGCAGAATTCTTCCTGAACCAAGTCTTTTTAGCACAGTTCAGTTGTACAGACAAAGCAGTAAGCTTTATGGCTCTATATTTACTGGAGCCAGTAAATTCCGTTGTAAAGACTGCAGTGCTGCCTATGACACTTTAGTAGAATTAACAGTGCACATGAATGAAACAGGACATTATCGAGATGACAACCATGAAACTGATAACAATAACCCTAAAAGATGGTCCAAACCTCGTAAACGTTCTTTGCTTGAAATGGAAGGGAAAGAAGATGCCCAGAAAGTATTAAAGTGTATGTACTGTGGCCATTCATTTGAATCTCTTCAGGACTTGAGTGTTCATATGATCAAAACAAAACACTACCAAAAAGTGCCTCTGAAGGAACCTGTTACACCTGTAGCAGCAAAAATTATCCCAGCTACTAGAAAAAAAGCATCACTGGAGCTTGAACTTCCAAGCTCTCCAGATTCCACAGGTGGGACACCAAAAGCAACAATCTCGGACACCAACGACGCGCTACAAAAGAATGCAAATCCTTACATTACGCCAAATAATCGTTACGGTCACCAGAATGGTGCCAGCTACGCTTGGCATTTTGAGGCAAGGAAATCTCAAATTCTCAAATGCATGGAGTGTGGAAGTTCCCATGATACTTTGCAGGAACTCACTGCCCACATGATGGTGACAGGACATTTTATAAAAGTCACCAACTCTGCCATGAAGAAAGGGAAGCCAATTATAGAAGCCCCAGTGACGCCAACAATAACAGCTCTACTAGACGAAAAAGTACAGTCTGTGCCACTTGCAGCCACCACTTTTACATCTCCCTCCAACACGCCTTCTAGTGTCTCCCCAAAATTGAATGTTGAAGTAAAAAAAGAAGTAGATAAAGAGAGAGGGATTGCTGATGATAAAATGAAAGAGAAAGAGAAGTCAAATGAAGATGAGGAAAAGTATGATATCTCCTCAAAATATCATTATTTGACTGAAAATGACCTGGAAGAAAGTCCTAAAGGGGGGCTAGATATTTTAAAGTCTTTAGAAAACACAGTAACATCAGCTATAAACAAAGCCCAGAATGGTACACCAAGCTGGGGTGGCTACCCCAGTATTCATGCTGCCTACCAGCTACCTAACATGATGAAGCTGTCGTTGGGTTCATCGGGAAAAAGTACACCCTTAAAATCTATGTTTGGAAACAATGAAATAGTGTCACCGACTAAAAACCAGCCCCTACTGTCGCCACCAAGCAGTCAAACCTCCCCTGTGCCAAAAACGAACTTTCATGCCATGGAAGAACTGGTAAAGAAAGTCACTGAGAAAGTGATTAAAGTTGAGGAAAAAATGAAAGAACCTGAAGGAAAGCTGTCTCCAGTGAAACGTGCGACACCTTCGCCATGCAGCAGCGAAATCAGTGAACCCCTCAAAATGGATGCTTCTAACGATGGTGGTTTTAAAAGCCAACAGAACAGCCCAGTTCCTCAGAGGGATAGTTGCAAGGATAGTCCAACTATAGAACCAGTGGAAAATGGTAAAGAGCCTGTAAAGTCAATTGCAAGTACATTAAGCAGCAGCACAGCTATTATTACAGATCATCCTCCTGAACAACCATTTGTAAATCCATTAAGTGCACTGCAGTCTGTCATGAATATTCATCTTGGGAAAGCAGCAAAGCCATCTTTGCCTGCTCTGGATCCAATGAGCATGCTTTTTAAAATGAGCAACAGTTTGGCAGAAAAGGCTGCGGTGGCCACCCCACCTTTGCAGTGCAAAAAACCAGACCACTTAGACCGTTATTTTTATCATGTCAACAATGACCAACCCATAGATTTGACGAAAGGCAAGAGTGACAAAAGCTGCTCTTTGGGTTCAGCGCTTTTGTCATCCACATCAACATCTTCTGCATCTTCTTCATCTACAGTGACAACAGCAAAGACATCTGCAGTCGTGTCATTCATGTCAAACTCGCCGCTACGCGAGAATGCCTTGTCAGATATATCTGATATGCTGAAGAACCTGACAGAAAGTCACACATCAAAATCTTCCACACCTTCCAGCATATCTGAGAAATCTGACATTGATGGTACCACAATAGAGGAACCAGAAGAGACTACACCAGCTCAGAAAAGGAAGGGACGTCAGTCTAACTGGAACCCTCAGCACTTGCTCATTCTGCAGGCCCAGTTTGCAGCCAGTTTACGACAGACATCAGAGGGAAAATACATTATGTCAGACTTGAGCCCTCAAGAAAGAATGCACATTTCAAGGTTTACGGGACTCTCAATGACCACAATTAGCCACTGGCTAGCCAATGTGAAATACCAGCTCCGAAGGACGGGAGGAACTAAGTTCCTTAAAAATTTGGACACTGGGCATCCAGTGTTCTTTTGTAATGACTGTGCTTCACAGATCAGAACTCCTTCAACTTATATCAGTCACCTCGAATCACATCTAGGTTTCAGGTTAAGAGACCTGTCCAAACTGTCCAATGAACAGATTAACAATCAGATAGCACAAACAAAGTCACCATCTGAAAAACTGGTGACATCATCTCCAGAGGAAGAAATTGGAACTTCCTATCAGTGTAAACTTTGTAACAGGACTTTTGCAAGCAAGCATGCTGTTAAACTTCATCTTAGTAAAACACATGGGAAGTCACCAGAGGATCATCTTCTGTATGTTTCGGAGTTAGAGAAGCAGTAGCATTTGCTTTTGATTAAAATAACTGTAATTTGCTTTGAGGAAAACTGTCAAAGACGCCTTAAAGCTACTGTTTAGTTCTTGGCACATGTTCTTATTTTAACTCCAGAGAGTCACTCTGGGCTGAACTGTTTTGTATAATTGTACAGTGTTTAATAGAGGTGCATAATCAGCTGTTGTTACTGGTAAAATATGAAGGTTAAAATGCAGTGGTAAGTGTTTGGAACTTTGTGTAAATTGGATTTAGTTGCTGTGCATCCCTCTGATGCATCAAGCTGCATGCATTAACAGACAGTTTAATTAAGCATTTATAACTAATCCTGGTGCACTTTTTTCACGTGACCTAAGTGTGCTGGTATTTCTCACCCTATAATCTTTAGCCCTCTGAGTACTTTGAAACACTTTTTCTTTAATTTGGTAAAATGTATGGATATGTTTTTAAAACCCTTACCAGCTTAGTTCTAATTACTAATATGAACCTCCATTTATGCAGAGGTGTATCACACCTTGAAATTTAAAATATTATTTTCACATTGAAACATAGATGTATATATTGTATAGATTTCAAAATCTCTTATGGAAATGTAATTGTGGTTAATGCCATGTTTTTCTTCAGCATTTTTAGCAATGACGGTTTTTGTACCTGATATGCCTCAGGTATAAGCTATACCTATATATAGTGTATATTTCTTTTTTTAGGTCTAAGGGTTTTTCTTTTAACATCCAAACATTGTAAATTATATGAAAGGTACCACACATAGCATTTATAAAGTATTCAAAAACATTATTCTTAAAGCAAAGTATGATTGTTTTGTTTTGCTATACAGTACATCTATATTGATAGAGGTTCATGTTTAAATTATACATATTTATTAGTATCGTTATCATTTGTTTTTA